GAGGTGAAAGGGGAGGTAGAAACTGGGGGAGGGGGGAGGAAGAGGGGAAAAATGGGAGATATCTGTAATACTATTAACAAAAAATATTTTTAAAAAATAAAATGTAATCTTGGTTAACATATTAAATATCCATATTTATTGGGTTTTATTCCTGGGTTTTCTGTTTAACTTATTTATTCCAATGCCATTTTCATTCTTTTAGCCACAAAAGTTTTACAGTGTGTTTTAACAACTGGTAAGGCAAGTCCTTCCTAGTTTTCCTTGTCTATTCTTGGACATTTGTCCTTCTAGATAAGCAGTAAAATTTTTTCCCCAAATTTCAAAAACAATCTTTGGATATTCAAAATAGAATCACATTGAAAGCATTTATTAATTTGAGAAGTAATATTTAATAGCTTATCTATTCTCATCTAAGAGCATGGTTGTGTTTTTTCATTTGTTCAATCTTGTTTCGTGTTCTTCAAAAACATTTTATAAAATTTTACAGAACTAGGACTTTCCTTGTTAAATTTACTCCTAAGAAAAATTTCCCCCAGTAGTTTTGGATACTAAAATGAGAGTATTTCCTCCCACTTCCATTTCTACTGGGGATTACTATAATAGAGAAAATTATTTTATAACTTCAGTATCTCTTGGGTTCTCCGAAATAGACTCAGACACAGAGAGCCACTGCCAGAGTGGGGAGGGTGGGGAGGAAGCTGGGTGAAAAGGGTGAAGGGATTGAGAAATATGAATGAATTGTAAGTTACAGAATAGTCACAGAGATGTAAATTACAGCATAGGGAGTTTTCAACAACAGAAAGAGTTGCATGGATCTCCTCAACCAAATGTTTCCCAAGAACCATAGAATTTTGATCTCTGCCCTAGATATACTCTCAAAGAGCCAGCAGACCCTAAATAAAGCCTTGCTGCTTACAGCCCCCCGCTCACAGCAGCTGCTCTAATAACAAGTCCCCAATATATAGTTAATTTATTCTCTGTGATATCCTATCTGGAGTCAGCCTTCCCTTTCTATTTCTAAAGCCATTTTTCTAGTTAGGACTTATATTTAGGTTCCTGGTTTCTTCATTGGTCTCTCTGAATAAAGTCTAGCCATGCTCATTCATTCAGTTCAAAACTTACAGGAAAAAGAGCTCTCTTGGTTATGTTTGACCTTCACAACATTCATGAAATTAAGCTTCTAACTACTGTTACTGAATAAAAAAGAGCTGAATGAATTCTAATAGAAAATTAAAATATACATTATGTGGCATACACAAAATTCTCTTTGGGTAGCCCCAGTAGGCACTTCAAAAATAAATTCACCTTCCAAAACAGCTGCAACTAAAAATTAAATAGCTATAATTAAAATGCTATAAAAAGATTACACACACACACAACTATGGTGTTCTGAGTCCCAAATGAAAAACATCAAGGGCTAGATTTCCAAAGGTAAGATACTAGTGTGACTGAATTATTTCTCTCTTGGGTACTTTGATAGTAATCCTCCAGGGATAACAGGAGACTTAATGGAAGTTAATAATACTTCAGAATAACACTGGCTAAGTCAGCCAGAATAACAACACATGACATTCATTACTGTAAAAGTGTTACCCCTATCCCACTTCATCACTCCTTCCTTACACTCACTCTATTTTTCTCAGCATGAGTGGCTGACATAGCTAGAAGAAACAGTACTTCTAGCTGTGTCCACTGTAGGTAAACAGCTCAGCCATGGCACTCTTGGGACTCTGCATGTATCCACAAAAGCCACACAGGAAAGTAAGAACTGCAGCTGACTCTAAGCCTTGACAGAAGGCCTTATAATAATCCTCTTGGAACATGGAACACAAGAACACAGGCGGCTTGTAAGAAGCTGCTATGTAGTCATTTTCACTCGCCTTCCCCTTTCCCTGGAAAACTGCTGAGCGTTTTCCTTCTTCTCCCTGATTCTGAGGACATGCCACCTTTCTGCTACCCCACGGGCACAACTGCATCCTACAGAGTGGCTTAGCTACAGCATAAGCCTTGGCTCCTCACCAATAGGTGTCTACCACCCATGTATGTTATACTTGTCATCTAGCCCTTTTTGTTTCAAGTGTTGCCCTTATGATGTGTGGAACAAATGACATAGGGAGCTGGCACCTTTAGCTACTTCTCCTTTCTCTATTTATATAAGTAATAAATTCTCTGAATCTAAAAAGGGCTGTTTCTTTACAGTCCGTGCCTAATGCTTAACATCTATTTCATCTCAATCTTCATTAATGAGTCATAGGAGGGGGAGAAGGGAAGAAATGAAAAGATTCAGGTATGGACAGAACCCACAAGTCAGCACATTAACAATTCTACCCAAAATTCCAAGAAAAAAAAATGAGGACTATCTAAAATATATGCTCTTATTCTCTCTAATCATATCAAAAGAGGAAATGGACCTGGTGGACTATAACCAAATTATGGGTCTGGCAACCAAATGATAGGTTTGTTAACATCCAGCAAGGCAAGAAATCATGTTCAACTCAGTAAGTGTAAATGTGAATGAAGTTTAAAAGATAATCATCACATAATTTGTAAAATCTTATTTCACATACAGTAACATGCATCTTTACATATACAGAGTTTGTAAAGATTAAAATACATTACCATCACAGGAGACAAAGTTAAACAAAGATTTAGCATGCCACTTCTGTAAGACTGTCAAATTTGCAAAAAAAAAAACCATCCAGCCGAAACCCGTTTGGCTCAGTGGATAGAGCGTCGGCTTGCGGACTGAAAGGTCCCAGGTTCAATTCCGGTCAAGGGCATGTACCTAGGTTGCGGGCACATCCCCAGTAGGAGATGTGCAGAAAGCAGCTGATCGGTGTTTCTAACTATCTCTCTCCCTTCCTCTCTGTAAAAAAATCAATAAAATATATTAAAAAACAAACAAACAAAAAACATCCCCATAGTTCAGTCTAGTAAATCTGCGACAGCACAACTATCTGTACTACATCTCTCAAGACAGCAACCAAGTCCCAGTACACTGGTCTATCTGTTGTCTCCTAGTCCTACCCCAGTTCCTCTCATTTCTTCTTCCAGCTTTGTTCTGACTCTATACTTTGTTTGGAATGCTTTCCAATCTTCTCTCCAATCACTTCATCTCCCTTACCACTTCCTTTACAACAGAGTAAACATTCTTTTTTCTAAGAGATCATGTTATTCCTGTGCCATCAAGAGAACAAAAACAACATAAATTATGGCCTAGCTCAATGTTTCTCAGATTTTATATATATCTATACATATTAAGACATCCAAATCTTGCTAAAGTGCACACTGAAAAACAATGCATACCCATTCAGTTGGTATCAAGAGGAGCCAAGAGTCTGCATTTGTAATAAGCTTCTAGTGATGCTATCTGCTCTCCATAACTCACAGTTTGAATACCAAGAATTTAGCTGACTCACTTGATTTTATTACATATTAGTTTGGTTATGCTATTAAGTCTTTTATTTTTGTGAAGGTGTCTTACAAATGGGTCTTGATCAAATGTGAACACATGTTTTGGCAGGTATTTTTATACTTAAATATGAGAAAAGAGAGCATGTAGCTCAGAATGTTAATCTTTGCCTTGTAGTAAAAAAGCTGCATTGCATATATAAAAAGCATAATTCCTCAGAATAAAGGGGTTTCGAGCGAAAATACAAACACACCAGTATTTCCAGGGCTAGGCAGATATGGCCACATGTTTACTAAGGATCCTGTAAGACCCTGATACTCAAAGTGTAGTCCACAGACCACTACCGGCAATACATGGGAGCTCATTAGGAACGCAGACTTTCAGGTCCCTCCCCAGACCTAGTGTAACCTTCATTAAATTATTTAAAAATCATAGAAAAATGTTTAAAATCACAGAGAAAAACATTTAAAGTGGCATGTAGTTAACACTATAAAGAGAACGTTTATGTGATATTTGATAGCCAGATTCAATAAAATATAGGTTAATGTTAAACCTTATTAACTAAGGTTCAGGAAGGCTAAGAGCAGACTTGTTTTAAAGCAGTTTCATATGGTATTCAAAGACTGCAATGTAGTGAGAGGCCCACATTTCTTTAAATAAATCAAATCAAGGACCTAACCAGAAGCATGACTAAGTGCTGAATGTAGGACAAGATGTAATATTAAAATATAATAGTAAAACTTGGACTTTAGCAACTTTTAAGTAACCTACAAGATTTGGAAAAAAATCTTCTGAGTTCACAGTAACCACATATATAAGATATATAAGAAGCAAAAAAAGAAATGCAATGTTTATATCTAGAACAGTGCCCACCCATCTAACCATACTGAAATTAAATATGCCAGAATAAAGTTACCAACATTCACACTGATCAATAGTCAACAAATTTAAATACTTACCACTATTCTTAATTCTGCTTTTCAGCTGAGCAGAATGCCTCTTCTTACTCTTTGACTTGGGAGTTTTGTCTTTAGATGCCAGGCTGGCCTGTGCAGATGCTTTTCTTGCCTTAAACGTTTTCGTTACTGTGGTTGGATCTACGGGATCAGGCATGCTGCTAAAGCTTTCTAAGGATTCTTCATCAAACTGGCGTCTTCTCGTGCTGGTATCTAATTGATCTCTGCGATTACTATTTGTAGTTTTCTCTACAGACACTGCAAATCCAGTCTTGAATGGTTTTTCAACTTCACCTTCTTGATCATATAACCATGGTGTCCTACTGTTTTCCGCCTCCTCTGTGGACTGCTTTTGATTCCTTACACCAATGAAAATAAGCTTTTAGAGCTTACAATGACACATTTCTATGTTTATCAAAAACTTCAGATATAGTACTTAACTTATAGTTTATTAGATTTCAGCAAATAAAATCATCAAAAGACTGTAAAAATATTTTCACAAAATATGCATTAAATATGTAAATATGTTACAGGCTAGTGTTCTAAATTACCTAACTTTAATATTAAACACTTCTCACTGGCAAAAGTCCCAAACCAAAGATCTAGCATTCATAACAGAAAAGACTACGAAAGAAAAACCAAGAAAGAATGGGATATATAAGGAAAACACAAAAAAACGTGGAGGAAGAGCTGAGAAAGAGCTGAAGCAGAGGGTATGAAACATACATGGATCTGTGTCACAGTAGTTCAACTAGAACCAGAATTTGATAAAAATAATGGCCATGCATATAGTAATTTCTTTCTCCACACATCAAGTATAGTTTAGTTTAGTTCTATTGGTCCAGTGTCATTTTCAAATTTTACCTGCTAAACACTGGCATCCTTAATATTTTAATAGGTACTCACTGGTCATCTAATTTGAAAAAAAGAGTCAAAACAAAGTGGAACAGGTCTACAGGATTCCTCAGAATTTTTAATACACCAAAGTACTTTATAAAATGTCTTAAAAGGGAACATAGTGAGATGTCCAAAACTTTTTATCACAGAACCTGACATGAACAACAGGGTTCCATATAAAAGAGTAATTTGGGAGACACCGATTTACTTACAGAAGTTAGACAAACTAGTTTACAGGCCAAATTGAGCCTGCTGTTTTTTTGTATGGCCTGAGAGCTAATATGATGTTTATAGTTGAAAAAATAAAATCATACATGGTTAAAAATTAAAATCAAAGGAGTCAAGCTTGTGACAATTACTAGTATATGAAATTTACGTTTCAGTGCCCATAAAGTGTTGTTGGAACACAGCCACTCATGTGTTTATATATTGTTATGGCTGCTTTTGTGCAAAAATGGCAGAGATGAATGGGTACGAAAGGCACAGTAATACTTACTACCTAGTCCTTCATAGGAAAAGTTTTCTAACCTTAGCTCAAGATTATAATCTTCCACCTGACCTCTTATTATCTCCAGCCATTCAATTCAGGGAACCTATACTAGTTGAGATTTTGGGGAGGAGATTAGGTATAATCTGAAGTAGGTCAAATACCTAAAACAATATTAGATAGCCATAGTCATGCTTTTTTACTATCAATTATATATAAAATGTGGATAATAATGAAGTAGGAACTTTACAGAAAGCAGGAACTTTACAGAAGGTAGGCTATTTACTAAAGCTTTGAAAAAATGTTTATTGCTTATTACGGAGATTCACTCAGCCATTATTTCTGAATGACAACTGTACATTAAACAGTTAGACTCTTTTACAAAGCACCATGAGATTTAATAGAAAAAATGGTTAGTACTGCTAATAAAAGCAAAGTCAGAGAGGTCAATCATAGGACTCCTAATTGAAGTGATACCATATATCACTACAACTTTCTTGTCTAAAGTTGTCTCTATAATAAAACAGTACTCAACATTACATTTGGATAGGCCTTAGGAACTCATTCTTATCAGGAGTTCTGAATCAAAATAAAATGCCATCACTTTACAACTATCCTCTACTAATTAGTATTAGTTTTTACTGAAATCTGTGAACTTAGACAGATATCAAATCAAGCCCAAAAGACACTGTATGGGTAAGGTCTTATCTTTTCAAAATGAATCTCATAGGATACCCTGATCGAAACTCTGAACTGCTCTTGTACCAGGGCAGGTATATGCCTGAGAGACATCTGGTGAGATGTCAAAGTTTCATAATCCCTCCACTGCCAGGCCAAACAATCACAAACATACTCCCCAATTGTGTTTTCAAATTATATATCATTAGATGTAATAAAAAAAAAAGAGATTAATGTGATCTATTAAACATAATGACTTATGTTTACAATTGAGTTACCTTTGTTTTTCTGCTCCAATAGAAGAATTGCTTTCAAAAGGTTTTGGAAAGGCCATGTATTCTGTTTTCCCTGAAGAATTCTGGGCTAATGGTTGCTGTTGTTCAGTGGGTGTAGAAATATTCTGAGAAAAATCTCCACAATTAGAAGAAAATAAAGGGCTGAAATTCATACCTAGTAAATAAAAGCAATAACTAAGATGACAATAAAGTACCTTTAGCCTTAATATGAAATAAGACAGTTTTAATTAAATGTGCCATTCAGATTTACCAAAACAAGAAATTGTTAATTAAAATAAACTAAGTCATTTATTAAATCACAGTTTATAGCTCAGCCCACTCTGTTGCAGCATTAGTGATAACAATGTGTCAGATTCTACTGCAGGCACTCTGCATGTTATTTCATTCAATGCTTAAAACAACACTATAAAATAGATGTAATCTTTATAACTCTAAGTGGTTCCTTGATTAGAAAGCCTTTTCTTTCCCTTTTACTCCCTGGAAATAACTTCTATTCATTTTTTAGAGCTTAAATAACATTTTTCTGGAAAAAATGCATTTCCTGATGATCTCTTGCCCCAAGTAAGAATAGGTCACTCACCTCATTTGTATCTGTGGTACTGCACTAGGCATTAATTAACATTCTTAGCTTCCTCATTAGACATTAAATTCTTTAAAGCATTAGTCTTAATCATCTTTGAATCCCAGTCATTTATATAGTGTCTGGCACATAATGTGTGCAGAAAAAAAGTCTGAATAGAAGCCTAAGCTAAATAAAATTAAATGTAAGCCTAAACTAAGCACTCACCTTTACTCTAGCAGTATATCTCCCTGCCGAGACATGAAGCTCCTCTACAAGAACATGTTATTCATCTTTACTCTATGTTTTACACAGTGCCTGATGTACAGTAGCCACTGGATATATCAATTCCCTTTCTCCTTAATAGTCGTTAAATAATCAAAGATATAAAACAGCAATAATTCATAATTGTTTACTTAATTCCATTAGCAACCATATTAAACTCAAATTTTCACTATAAGAATCAAAGTAGAAAAGAGTTTCTAACTTTCTTTGCGAGCATTTCCTACCAATCCAAAAGAGACTAATAAATATCCATGCAATAGACAAACAATACTCTAAAACGCTTTTGTTCTTATTTTTCCTTTAGGTTTTCAGTCACTTACCTGGTGCAAATGATGAAAAATTAGTAAACCCAGGTAGGTTAAACAGATTTACAGGCTGTGTTGGAAAGCTGAAAGGACAAAATAAACTGGGAGAAGGAGGGTGTGGTGCACTACTGCCCCTTTTCTTGTTTCCAGGTTTTTCTGGATGCTGATTTTGTTGGTGCATAAGTTCATTTAGCATTTGTTTCAACCTAAAAAAATTTAAGAAGTTGGTAATTTAAAAATCAGTTATATTAACATCTACTTACAGTACATTCAGAAAAGATATGTGTAAGAAGTGATTCATGCAAATCAGACTGACTGCTCTGATATTCACTACAACAAATATTTGCTTGTCCTGCAGGCTTAATTCAATAAACTTAGCCTTAGGATCAAAAACTGCACTTACCACTTCTATTAGATAGTAGGTATAACTGTAAGAAACTCTTTTTCTTGTCTTGTCTGCTGCTGTATTGAGGTATGTTACACACCATATAATTCACCTAATGTAAGTGTATAAAATTTTAAAGACAAGTCCACAATATTGAAGGGGAATATTGGACAAATCACTGCTTATAAAATTCTCAGGTGACAGAGAATATTTGCATATATAATTTGTCTCATACCCTTTGTCCCAGAAGATAACTGCAACATCTTTGCTCAGTTTTAGCACTGCACTTTTATTTTTATAAATACATTTTATTGATATTTTACAAAGAGGAAGGGACAGGGATAGTCAGAAACATCGATGAGAGAGAAACATCAATTCAGCTGCCTCCTGCACACTCCCTACTGGGGATGTGCCCGCAACTAAGGTACATGCCCTTGACCAGAATCGAACCTGGGACCTTTCAGTCCATAGGCCAACGCTCTATCCACTGAGCCAAACCGGTTAGGGCAGTTTTAGCACTTATTATGGAGTGTCACTATTTCCAAGAAACTAATTACCTTTGTACATTATTCTGTTGCCATGTTAGTTGAGTGTAGCACTGGTTCAACTGATGCATTATAAGGTGCACTTGAGGAGATGCAACATTGCTGGGCATAACACTGTAGGGACCGGTGAGAAGAGTTTGGAGCAGACAAGATAGAGCCTATGGAAAGGAAAATATTTCGTAATATTTTAATGATGACTTGAGAAAAATGTGGACTGCTTCAAAAACAAGATAAAATATTTTTACTTTTATAGTGAACTTTACCTGCTGGTCTTGCATCAAAGTCTGACAAATACTGACACTGAAATCAAGTTGTTTCTTTAGCTGATTAATTTGTTCTTGCCATTGTTCTTTCTCTTCTACATACGAGAGTTCTGACACCCACCGAAGGTTTTCCTGACGCTGCATGCTGATATTCTGTTGTCTTGTCTTGGCTAATGGACGACAATTTCCATCTTCTGGAAAACGGCGATTATTCTTCCATCTAATACAAGATTTAAAGCATTGGGTCATCATATATAATTATTTGGCTTTTAAAATCTGGCAACAAACCACAGGCCAGTATTCTCTTTTTAAGATGAAAACCTCAAAAAGCATGAAAAATAAAGGGGATAAAGATTCTAGGTTTTTAGCCTTATATAATTATCGTATTTTATTCTTTTCCAGTGTTTTCCACTAATGTCTTAAACAGAAGTGTCCATATAATTCTGTATACTGCAAAATAAAAATACACCACAAGCATTTTTCCATTCTTCATGTTATAAGCTTAGCCACATTACAACATCAGGTGGAATTACTTCATCTTTTACTCATCAAATATATTTCACTACTGTAAATAACAACAGAATGAGTATCTTTGTACAGACTTTTTTCTCTCTCTACGATTTTTATTTTTTTAAATATATTTTTATTGATTTCAGAGAGGAAGGAAGGAGAAGAGAGAGATAGAAACATCAATGATGAGAGAGAATCATTGATCGGCTGCCTCCTGCACACCCCCTACTGGGGATCGAGCCCACAACCCAGGCATGTGCCCTTGACCAGAATCACACCTGGGACCTTTCAGTACACAGGCCTACGCTCTATCCACTGAGCCAAACCAGCTAGGCTCTACGATTTTTAAATGTTTGCTAACCTCCCCCAAAAGAGCAAAGATCAAAGCTTATAAATCCTGATCTAGTGTAGCTGGAATATATCTCGGCAACACTCTTGTTGAATAATAAAAAATATATTTTGAGCCCTAGCTGGTTTGCCTCAGTGGACAGAGCATTGGCCCTAGGAATGAAGAGTTCCAGGTTCAATTCCAGTCAAGAGCATGAACCTGTTTGCAGGCTTGATCTCCGGCCCTGGTTGGGGCCCTGTGAAAGGCAATCAATTGACGTGTCTCTCTGTGCAGGAGGCAACCAATCCATATGTCTCTCTCACATGGATATTTCTCTGTCTCTCCCCCACCCTTCCACTCTCTCTAAAAATCAATGGAAAAATATCCTTGGGTGAGGATTAACAAAAAAATATATATGATATATGTATTTTTTGAAAGGTGAAAGGATTAAGAAAAGAAAAACAGAAAAAAGACCTCATAGACACAGACAACATGGGGATTAGCAGAGGGAAAGGGGTTTTGGGTGAGGTAGAAGAAAATATAGGGGGCATAAATGGTGATGGAAGGAGACTTGACATGGAGTGGTGAATACACAATACAATATACAGATAATATATTATAAAAATTATACAGATAGAACTACCACATGACCGAGCAATCCCTCTCCTGGGTATATACCCAAAACACTCGAAAACATGTATTCACAAAGATATATGCAGCCCTATGTTCATCACTGCATCATCATTCATGGTGGCCAAGACACAGAAACAACCAAAGTGCCCCACGATAGAAGACTGGACAAAGACGTGGTGCATATACACAATGGGAAATTATTCAGCCATAATGATGAAATACTGCCATTTGCAACAACACGCATAGACCTTGATAACATTATGCTAAGTGAATTGAGTCAGAAAAAGTTAAGAACTATTATGATTTCAATCATGTGGGAAATAAAACTGATAACTCATGAACACAAACAGCAGTGCGGTGATCACCAGAGGGAAGGGGCTAGAGGGAGAGAAGGAAAGGGGTCCTAATAGAAGGTGACAGGAGAAGATTTGACTTTGGATGGTGGGCACACAATCAAGATACAGATTTTGTAACATAGAAACCCATACCTGAAACCTTTATGTTCACGTTGACCAATGTCACCCCAATCAATTTAATAAATATTTAAAAAATAAAAATTCAAAAGAGAATTATACACATGAAACCCTCAATAAATTCAATTAAAAAATATTTGTTCCAGGTTTCCAGCAGAGTTCCTATAACTCTTGGCATCCCCTGGGTACCTGTGTTTTTCATAAAGAGCCCCTTTCCAGCATATCTGAGTTTCTGCTAATACCTCTTAGCAGGCTCTAGGTGGCTTCATGAGGGGCCCTGGTGGCCAGAAAAACCAGCCAGGTGATTAGAGAAGTTGGAACTTTCAGCCCTATTTCCCAAACTCCAATGATGATGTTTCTCTCTCATCAATGTCTCTGGCTCTCTATCCCTCTCCCTTCCTCTCTGTAAAAAATCAATAAAATATATTTTAAAAAAGAGTTTTTATAAAACAAAGAAACTAACCTATTTTTAGTTTCCTTTATACTATAAGAGTTATGATTCATGCTGTTAGGAGAATACAGAGAAAAGTTATCATTGGAACTGGCATCTTGCTCTTCTTCTTCCTCCTCTTCATCTGTCCGAACAACTCCTTCAGAAAGGTAACCATCTTCATCTCCTTCTTCATCTAGTGCACACTGGGTAGAACCTCCCCAAGTTGCCATTGTTCTAGAGATTAAGACAAAAAAACAAGAGATCATTCTGGAGATGAGCTCAATACTTTACCACCATGTGCCAGACACTGTAGTACCAAATATACATGTACATGCACGTATATAAAATCTCATTTAATCTTAGTAACTATGAATGGTATTCTAAAATATATATAGAATACATTTCTTCTGCCTTCCATAAAACAATTCTTCCAGTTAAAACAGTAATCATAGCCTCTAAATCAGCGGTTCTCAACCTGTGGGTCGTGACCCCTTTGGGGGTCGAATGTCCCTAAGACCATCAGAAAACACATATATAGTTACATATTGTTTTTGTGATAGGTCACTATGCTTTAATTATGTTCAATTTGTAACAATGAAATTGGTGGTCACCACAACATGAGGAACTGTATTAAAGGGTCACAGCATTAAGAAGGTTAAGAACCACTGCTCTAAATATTTTTTCCTAAACAACCCTCAACTTTCCTTTCCTTGTGTGACAGTTTTCTAGATCAATACCATTCTTGTCCAATACCATTCTCTGAATAGTGATGATCTATATCTGTGCTGTCCCATATAGTTGCCACTAGGTACATAGAACCAATGAACACTTAAAATATGGCTGACATAATTGAGAAAATTTTTATTTTATTTAATTTTAACTTAGTTACCTCTATATCTAGTGCCTTTCATATTGGGTACCACAATTCTAGAACCTATGTTCTAAAATCTTGACGCTTATCAAAACTATCCAAAGAACTTGAAGTATAAATGTGTGGTATTCAGAACAGAATAAAATACTAAAGATGTAGTTTGATCACTAAATATGTATGGGGACTCCACAAATAGGAAAAGTTCTTTAAAGAGGAAGAAGAGTTAGGCTTGGTGCAATGTTCCAGAAATGCCATCTGAAAATATCAAAATGTAAAGTCACAACATATTTGAATTCCAAATTTTAGATCTGAATACTACTATATAAATAGTAATTGACTGATATTAAAGATGACCAAGTCTTTTAGAAATATTCTTGATATAAAAATTTCAAACTTAAATCCTAAAAACTAAATGTCTTATATAACAAAATGTTTTAAGATCCTTAGAAACCTTACAAATAGCAGATACTGAATTTGAGTAAAAAAAGTGCTTATTTCTGGCCTGACGGAATAGCACTACAAAGTATCAAGGGTAAAGCTAAACTAAGTTTTCTTTTTATAAGCTTAAAACTTAACTAAGAAAATAAAGGTCATACACTCAAGAAAATCTAGATCACCATTTGATTAAGTGTCTTAGTAATTAAAAAAGAAAGTTAATGCTATGAGAACTTTGAACAAAAAGGAACTCAATTTAGTGAAACTGAGGCACCAAGGTGATACTTAAATATTATCCTCACTGCCACATCAAATTTGTACTGTGATAAAGAGGGAAAACAAGGCTGCCTATCCTACAAGCCACAGGTATGGTGTTTAAAAAATGATTTAAATAACTCTTACTTGTCTGTTCTACTTTGTTGAGGAGTGCACAGGTTTTCAGATCCATCACTTCTCAATGAAACAGCCACTGGAGATACAGTTTCAGCTATACCTTGCCTCCTCTGATGTTCAGCCATCAGAGCTTCAAGCTGCTTTCTTCTCTGTCGCAGCTCTTCCCTTAAAATTTCATGTCTTCGCATTTCTGACCACAGCTATTAATTTAAAAATTAGAGCAACGTTAAAGTATTTGGATTTGTCTTCTCCTTAAAGGACAACAGGCTAATACTATTGTCCATACCTACAAATACTTCTATTCTCACTCTATTCTTTTTACACTGAAATATTCATGGTTAAAAATGTTAATGATGAATAAGAAAAAACCAGGCAATCATTAATTCTTAAAGAAAACAAGTAGCACCCAAATATCAACTATTTAGAAAAAGTTATGATGTTTCCTACAAATCACATATAAATGAAAGAAAATACCAAAGGATAGGTCTTTTTAACTGAAATGATTGCTATTTGTTGCAACTATCCTTTACATATAATTCTACCAAATATTTGCTAATAAAGACCAAGACTATTTTGAAGAGATCCCAACTTAATTACTTTTTGGGAAAAAAAAATTTCTTCCCCAAACTAAAAGACACAAACAGGCTACATTTAAAAACATGTTTTACCAATATTGTGTCCTTCTTAAGCTGTGACTTACACAGCATGGGGAATATATAGTCAATAATGCTGTAATAACTATGTACGGTGTCAGATGGGTACTAGACTTAACAGGATGATTACTTCATAAGGTATATAAATGTCTAATAAACTATGATATACACCGGACCTTAATAGAATATTATACTTAACTGTACTTGAAAAATAAATTTTAAAACAATATGTGACTTAAGACTCAAGAACAACAGGGTACATTATACAATACCTCATTATTTACTACTGCAGAATCGTCAGGCTCAAAAACAGGTTTGCTTGCATTGGTTTCATTTTCATTAATAGTTGGGGTTGAAGTAACAGCTGGCATATATTTCTTTGTGGAACAATTACCTGCACTAGTGGTTGACAGCTAAAAAAAGGATTAGAAACATTATGAGGAATTACAGCAATTATGTTAATTTCATAAAAACAGTTATTTTATTACTCCTCTAGGGTTCTAGTGACATATTTGTTATCAGACCTCAACTGCTATCATGAGTCAAAGAAAATCTGACATAATAAAAGATAAAAGCACAGACTAAAGCTGATGAGTAGTAACCAACCTTCAGAAACAAGAGAGATAAGAGAGATAAAACATTACTGTGGAAAATTTCATATACTCAACGCAACTCAGCTATGTATTCCTCTGGGCATTGTTTAGATTGGGGATAAGGACAAAAGGATTAAAGTGGAAAAGGTAACAGTCTAGAAAATAGTTACATTAGAATTATCATTTGATGTGTTTCCCTTCCTTTAAAAATAAAACCTGACTGAAGAATAAACTTAACCAATAAATTTTAGGGAGAAAAAAAAATCTCAGAAAGAATTGGTATTTCCTTCCCATATTAACCCTACCCCTATTACCTGACATGATCAAAGATTGTTCATTTTCTGTTCAATATCAAAGACCTAAGCATGGGATACCATTAATAAGCAAAGGTATATATAGTTAATATTCAAACTAAAAACAAAACATTTTAATTTCCTTAGATAACACATGATGGCTTAAGAGCTTTATTATATAATTTTAGGCCATTAAAGATGGAAATTGTAGTCCCTGAACTGCAAAGCTAAAATCAGAATATTTTACTCTATTTTTTAATTCTTTATTGAAGGTTTGTAGAAAAACTACTCTTTGGGTTTTATTTAACTCATTTACAAAATATATTGCCCTGACCATATATATATATATATGCTAGATTTTCTGGTACATAGTCATAGTACATGTGAGTATGGTTCATTTTCTTCCTTTCTTTCCGAGTCTTTGGCATTTTACTTCATCCTGATTTTGTTTTTCACTAGCTAAATGTAAAAGGTGATCGATCTCTTTGAAGTTCAGTGAAACTAGAAATGTGAAACCAGAATATTTTAATAGTTACATTCATGTTTTGATACTCTAGCTAGCTAACCCAGTAAGTGAAAGAATGAAAATAATCTGTCAATTCCTTAGTGGTATCTTTCAGTATAGATGCGTATCCCTAAAAAAGTTCATTAGTTCAACCATTTCATTAATCATAAAATTAACAGAAATAAATCTATCATATCAGTACTACAAAGAGTACTTTCAATTGACATTGGGTTTTAGACATCTTTTTCAAATAGAAAGAGAGAAAATTCCTAATTACCTGTAGGTCAGGACATGCCTTTTGCAATGCTTGAATTTTCTCTTGAATCTTAATCAGTTTCTTTCTTTCTTCCTGCAACTGTTTAAGCTCTCTCTGTTGCTGCTGTAGTTTGGCCTCATAAAATTTCTCTCTGTAATTAAATTGACATTATATTTTGGACTCCAGTAAACCTGATAACATTAAGCATTACCGTATACCCAGCCGAGTACTTTCTCTATAACAGGCATTGAATTTTTACTAAATGAAGGCTTAACATACCTTGCCTTTTCATTTACTCCTGCATCTTTCTGTGTTTTATTGGCATTTCCTCTATTGTTATTCGCATTTTGTTTGGTGCCTTCTTCTGCTGGGTAGAAATCATCCAAATGTGAAGCACTGGCAGAGATAACTCCTTGATCTGCTGCATCATCATCCTAAAAACACGTCATTATATTAAAATAATCTCGACAAATCTAATTCATACCTTAGTAAATACCACTAGTCAATCAAAGTCATATAAGAAAAATTAGAGAAGTAGAGAAAGCAGTAGAGAATACTGAAGTTCATTCTCTACCATGGCAAGAAATGGAGTACTTGCCGAAACCGGTTTGGCTCAGTGGATAGAGCGTTGGCTTGCGGACTGAGGGGTCCCGGGTTCGATTCCGGTCAAGGGCATGTACCTGGGTTGCGAGCACATCCCCAGTGGGGGATGTGCAGGAGGCAGCTGATCGATGTTTCTCTCTCATTGATGTTTCTAACTATCTCTCTCCCTTCCTCTCTGTAAAAAATCAATAAGATATATTAAAAAAAAAGAAAGAAATGGAGTACTGAAACTAAAAATAGTACATGAAATATCTGCGCTGCCTATTATCCAGTAATGACAAATATTAAGTTGCCTTTTGTTATTTTGACCAAATACTGAGCTATCAAAGAATATGAAGATAAAAAATATACTACTGGAACTGCAAACTCCTGAATATTAATTTTTCTTAAGATTTAACTTTTACATTAACAATATCAAATAATCAATGTCCATTGTCACTTGCTTACATGAAATTTTCCCTTTCCTCACAGCTTTGGTCTGCCAAACAAGTGTCAATGGCTTGCAATACAAAAACTAATGAGAATATACCATTTTAAATTAGTAATCACTCCTGGCAATACAACTGAAGTTACTATCTTCCTAACAGATCCATATTTTATTGAAATCAATGTACTTATTAAAAGATTTGGGGGGTATTGCTCACAGCTCTTTTTGAATTTGTCTAGCAGGTCTTCTATTTTTTTTACCGGAAGGCCCTCAAAAAAAAAAAAGGGGTGGGGGAGTGGGAAGTGGGTGGCCAGGGAGAAGTCAATGGGGAAAAAAGGAGATATATGTAGTAAACAATGATGAATTTCTTTAAAAAAAAAAAGGTTTGGGGTGAACTACTGCATTTTTCTTAAAAATATTTAATCCTAAAAAAAAAAAATATTTAATCCTAGCCCAGTGAGTGTGGCTCAGTGGTTAGCATTGACCTATGAACTAGGAAGTCATGGTTCAATTCCAGGTAAGGGCACACTGATGATTCTATATCTTTCTATCTCTCCCTTCCTCTCTGAAATCATTAAAAGTATATTAAAAATTTTTTAACTCTATATATTTTATATTTACTCATGCTTTCTCGGAAGCCCTCAACTAAAACTTTAACCTTTGCAAATATCATTCTAATAAAACCTTAAAAAGTTAGAGATAACTTAGTTATAAAAGCACTGAATCAATTTTAAGTTTATGGATGGTGTTATTCTGGTCTTTGCTATCTAAAAATAAACCTAATTACTATTATGGAGAAGATTAGAGAGTAACTGGGTTGGGACTCAGGAATAAACAAACTAGATCATGAGACATTTTGTGATAATAAAAAGTGGAAAAATTAAAGTATGAGAAAAGATACAAAACAACTGCGTGATGTTTCAGATGGTAGTATGAAAGTGCCTGAACTTAAATGATATGCCTCAAACACTAAAACAAAGAAGTATTGTGTTGACACACATTCATCAAATTAAGGAACCAAAAAAGATGGCCATCTGGAGACTCTAGGACACATAAGGTTTCATAAGGGCCATGTAAGTTGTCCAAGCTAATCTAATCAAGAATAATAATAATACCTTTAGATGCTTACAACTATGTAACTGTTCAGACCATCTCCTGAGTTTCTTGGGAAAGACAATACAAGTAAAGATTTAAGAACATGAAGAGTACCTTAGATAAAATAAGTGTAATTTAGCAATCATTTTTTCATATATATTTATATATTTTAGAGGCCTGGTGCATGGAATTTGTGCACTCGGCTGGGGGGTGGGAGGGAAGGAACATGGGACAGTTGGCCAGCTGGGGAGGGACCGCAGGAGGGCTCCAGGGCGTGTTCAGCCCGTCTCATTCAGTCCTGATTGGCCAGATCCCAGCAGCAAGCTAACTACTGGTTGGAGAGTCTGCTCCCTGGTGGTCAGTGCACGTCATAGAATGCAGTTGAGTGGCCTTAGCATATCATTAGCATATTATGCTTTGACTGGTGGTTGAATGGCCGACTGGACACTTAGTATATTAGGCTTTTATTAGGATATTTTCAATTGATTTTTTTTAGAGAAAGTGGAAGGGAGAGGGAGAGAGAAACATAGATGTGAAAGAGAAACATTGATATTCATTAGTTGCCTCCCATATGGACCACAACCTGGGTATGTGCCCTAACTGGAATCGAACCAGCAACCTTCCAATGCACATTCAACCAGCTGAGCCACACTGCCAGGACCAATCATTTTTTTCAATTGCTCTCTTTCAGAAGGAGACCCCTTCTTCCCTCTGGGTTGCAGTTTTCTCATTTCTCATATATACTTTAGGTCCTAGGAACTCCCTAAAGCAAAAGATCTCCATTCAATATAAGCCTGATTCATCTAAAAGCCACCAAGTTATCATTTCTGCTCTCTTATTCCCACTTTGGGTAATACATCTGAAGAAAGAGGTCTTATAAAAAAGAGAAAGTAATTAACAAGTACAATGATTGTAAGAAAGCACAACCTATTATTGTTATTTACTTTAGAAACTGTTTTAATTTTTTCTAATGGTAATATTGTCATATAATCAAAGTTCAAAAACTAAAAAAGACATTTAAGAAATTCTTTTTTCCATCTCTGTCCCCAACTGACTCCATTCTCCATAGGTAACCAATGTTATCAGTTTATGTACCCAACACATATAATTAGCATAAGCAAAAATATTTACATGTGTATATATACACTTACATGTGTTTGTGTACATGTGTTTACACATAAGCCTTTCTTATATTAGGGAAAACTTGGAAAAAGCCAAAAACCAATTCCAATAATGGTTAAGCAAGCTATAGTGTATCAATATAAAAAAAATGTAATCAAGGGTGTGAGAAAAAGGACTCATACACCATTGCTTAGATATCAATTAATAGAGCCACTTTGGAAAGCAGTTAAGCAGTATCCATTAAAATTGATATGTGCATAAAATCTAACATAGCAATTCCACTTCTTATATACTCTTGAAAAACACAAATGCAGCAAGCGGCTCAGTTAGTTGGAATGTCATCCTATACACTGAAAAGGTTGAAGGGGTTTGATTCCAGTCAGGAGCATATGGGAGGCAACTTATCTCAATCAATCTCTCTCACAAATGAATAAAAAATACATATTCTTGGAATGCACAAAGAGAGCTGGGCAAGAATATTCACTGGGAATATTCCAAGTAGTAAAAAACTAAAAACAAAAGTATACATCAGTAGGAGTCAGATGAACTAAATTAAGGTCTGTTAATACTACAGAAAACTCTGTTGCAGCTAATAAGAGGTGTATTTAATATATACCACAAACACACACATACATATGCAGTATGATTTATATTTTATAATTACTTTTTCTATATAATATTTCACAATTATTTATCTGTAATTATATATGACTATATATGCTAATATGAAAAGTTCTCCAAGACATTGTGAAGTGGGGAAAAAAGCAAACTGTAAATAATACTTAAATGTAGACTCTAAAAAACAAAATAAAAGAACAAACAAAACAGAAATGAACTCAAAGATACAGAGAACTGATAGTCACCGATGCGGGGGGAGGTTGAGGCCATGGGTGAAAAGCATTAAGTAAGTGCAGACTGGCATTTACAAAAGTAGTCACAAGAATATAAGTAAAATACAGCATAGGAAATATAGTCAATAATATTATAATAATTACATATAATATTAAATGGGTACTACACTTACTGAGCTGATCACTTCATAAAATATGTCTAATCATTATTCTGTACAGTTGAAACTAATATAATATTGTATGTCAACAGTAGTTAAAAATTAAATTTAAGTGCCAAACATCTAAAGCTGGCATATAGCAAGAACTTAATACATAAATATGTAATAGTATAATTATGCCATGTAACTGTCAAAATATATAAATTTTATATTATAAGACTGTACTATATGACAAGTAGTTTTTAAAAAACCAAGCAGTACTTGCCTGTACCATAGCAACAAGATCTTGCAACTGCCTAAGTTTCTGTTTTGCAGCCATAAGTCTATTGATCTTCTGTTCAAATTCAGCATCCTCTGGAGCCTCATCAGCCACACTGCTCCTGTGACTAGACAATGAAGCTCCACTAGCACCCTCATCTTCTGCTTCTTCCTCCTCATCATCATCTTCACCTTGTGCAACAGGAATCCCCTGTTCTCCTTCTCTATTATATCGACAATCTGCTGAAAACAGGTATCATTGAAATCCGTAATTTCATAAACTTGAGTACTAATGAAAGAAAAATCTACTTCCCAAGAACAATATGGCAATGATTTCTGTGAATAGAGTCCATCATACCTAAAGAAGGAGGCATGTTTAAAGCCCTTATGTTGGCAGCAGATCTGTTGTTAATTTCACAATTAGAACGAACTGATCTGCCATCTCTATTATTAGAAACACACTGTGCATTGGAATTACTGTTTACTTCATTCCAGGTGGCAGCTACTTGGGGATTTCTAAAAAAAAAAAGAAGACAGCTTAGTTATTGAAGGTAAAAATAATAATAATAATAATAATAACAACAACAACAACCAAGGTTTAGAACTGCTGATAAAGTACTTCCAAACTATGAACATCATTGGCTTTTCCACATTTAAATTCATACTATGAATAATTGGTTCTTGCTTTTCATTAACTTCTGCAATTTAAAAACTTAAAACATTTGAAAAATGAAAATTATACCTAAAATTAAAGAGGTAGAAAAATGCTAATTTAGATACTTCTTGTAATTTCCTTACATTTGATCTAACAAATAGCAAATTTACTAAACTACTATACTCAACTCTTCCCTATTTTTTACACAAGGCAATTAAGATTACACTGACCAAAACAGCAGACTTACAGGAGAAAAGTCAAATAAAAGTTCTTACCGAATGTTAGTAACAGGCTCAGAATTTTCATGCTCAGAATCATATTCTGACTCTTCAGTTTCTTCATCTTTGGTGTTTTCATTTACAGCATCAGTCATCATATCTGATGTTTGTTCATAATAATGAACTAATTCTCTTAGTTCATTCAATCTCTTCCGAACTTCATTTAACTTCCTGATAAACAACACATATATATAATATTAATAACTATTTTAGTAAAGTAAAGCATGCATTATTTTCATGTAATAGCAGCCAACACAAACAAAACTTAAGTCTAGTCAAATATCTAGGGGCTATGCCTATAAATAATTTAATTTCAAGTATAGTCTACTCAAAATCTCATCCCTTTATTTTTTTCATGCTGTGTTAGGGACAAAAGCATATTAAAGAGTTCCAAGTGTTCATTTTAAGCAGGTATGGATGATAACAGCTTAAAACTCAATGTCAGAAATATTCCTAGATTTCTTGATATGTATCCAAAATGAGAAGTACAAAACATTCCATTTGAATACTAGCTCTCAGGCAAATCAGGTATGCAAGCATTATTGAGCATTTGCAGATGGTTCCTATAACATATAAATCTATAAAGTATGTCATATGTTTACCAAAAAATGACCAGCTTAAGTTTTTATTAAGTGCCAGGAGGCATGCCAATGCTTTTTAATCCTTAAAACACCTCTGTGAACAAGTATATTATTATCCCTATTTCGCAGATGAAGAAACAGAGGTTAAATGAGAGTAAGTTTATTTGTCCACAGTCATAGAGCCTTGAAAGACACACATACAGAGTTGTTTGATTATAAAGCCAGCTTCTAAACCACTTGATTATTTTAACTGTAGTTCAGCTGTTTCTAACTCTTTATTTGAAAACTGGAATACATTTGCTCATAGAAATGATCTGTATTACAATGTCACATACCTCTTGGAAAGCCTAAAGATTGCTCATATAACACTCAGGCACACTTGTACTACCATATCACTTAAAAATGTTTATCATATTAAATAAACCCATAACTTATCCCCATTATCCAATTCTAATCTATTTAACAATATCTGTAAAAGTGTTTTACTGGAGTTTTTCAGTTGGATTTAGATGGCCTTCATTTTCACTCTCATTCTGAGAAACCAGAGAAGCAGCAGGGTAAGGAACTGATGACGGGAGGCTATTGGATTCTCCATTGACAACAGGAGCAGAGGGAGCTGAAGTTGTACTTCTTTGGTCCACACTCCTTTGTGGAGAGGCTGAAGAAGGCACAACTACACACATACAAAAAACAGTTACCAAAAACAAATATGGCACCAAACATTTATTTGTAGTTTGTTTGGATGTAGAAAAATAAAAAGTAGAAGTCATTAACATCTTAAGTTCTGCATAAATTTTAGAAACTTAATAATATTAACATCCAGACCACTTATAAACATGATGGTCAACCAAATATAGTTAAAACAGAAAGAAGAGCGAAAGACAAGATGGAAATTGACAAGAACTATGATATTCTACCTTTAAAAAGAACAGTATTCCTTGTTAAAGCCCCTGATAAACTTGTTTCTGGGTTAAGTTCATCAAGGCCACTGTGTATGATGTACAGTACATCATCCACAAATCTTTATAAAGCAGCCCTAGCATAGTATGCCCTTAAGAGACTACCAAATCCACAGCTCAGAGGAAATTACATCCGGTCTCCAAGACAAAATTTTCTTATTCCAAAAAATAAAGCAAAATTGTTAAAGTGACTGTGGTATATCCATACTATGAAATACTACTTGGCAATAAAACATTCAAATTAATGATAGCTCATCCTCTGTAGTCCTTTAACCATTACATTTTAATTATTTTTCTGTTCACACAGATCAGACAAAGGTTATCTTATGCGTTCAGGGCAGTAAATGAAGATGATGAATTTCTGTATTTCTCTGTCTTCCACCACTTTAAAACCATTGGCATTTGTCTCTTTCTCACAGCAACATCATGACTACGTGTTGCCTACATTATCAACTGCTATAGCTGCTTTCCAGTAGTCTCTTCGCTCTATTCCTGGGCTTCTCTACCTTTGCTGCTGCTTTGTAGTTTTCCAGTGGGGAGAAAATGACTTTTTGGCATCATCAGTAAGCAGTATGCTACTTTCCCATGTGAATAACACTGATCACAAGGCCTTAAATACAACTTTCAAATGTTAAGGTTTTCTTAGTTGTGTTAATCTGTTTAGGAAGGATAAGTGTTGGGATTAGTTTATACTCTAGCAGACTAACAGAGGTCAGGGAAAAGGAGTATGTTTCAGGGTAGAAATACTAAGATTCTTTTGAACTTGGCAAAGAGAAGAAACAGGGACTCCAGAAATATTTCAATCCCTGTTTTTTCTTTAGTAAGAGAACAGCTGGAATGCTAAAGAATAATGACCAACTGAGCCTGACTCTATTGACTCCATTTCTAATGCTAGAGCTCCTACTACTGTTTGGGCAAAAGGCAGGAACCAGGCTTGTGAAGATGAGGATAGCAAATGAAAAATTAGCAACTATATCTTAGACAGAGGCAAGTAAAACATCTGCAAAGCAGAAAAGACAGTTTCTATAGTATAACTAGGATGATTACTGCCTTTCCTGTTCCCACATGACTAGTTACATATTTTTTAAAAGGATGTTTTGGGATTTCTGCATTGAACTATATGTACTATATAAAAATTTTTTATATCTCACTTTTTTTGGTATAAATACTTTCGTGTTTTTAAACCAAGTATTAATTTGGATTAGTTTTTAAGGGAAAATTTTGAATATGTTAAAATTGCAGTATTACTATGTCTAAGCACCTAATTACCTTCTACTTTTCCCTTAAATTCTTCCAATTTTCAAGGCCTAACTTTATCCTTTCCCTCTTCTGAATTATAGAACAGATCTGACATCTATTTGGCTTTAATCATACTGCCTTATTACTTAAAAACTTTTCACATGCAAGTTCATCTCCCCACAAAAAAACTGTAATTTTCTTGAGGAACTATGTGTTCATTCACTCACCAAATTATTTACTAAGGAACTACTTATATGCTGCCATTATACTTATGTGTTTTCTACCTAATACCACTACGCCAGATTTACTTACATGATGAATTGTTGAGATGTTGATCTCGAAGTGTATGAAGTTCTCCAAGCAGTTTGTCCATTTTTTGTTTCTTCTCCTGTAACACTCTCATTTTGCTAAAAAGTTGAACTTTCTCATCAGGTAAATGTTCTGAAACTGCTGGATTCCTGCTCTGGGAAACCTCCCGAGTTAATGAAAGACTTTCTGCCTGTCTCCTATTATCTGGAACAGGTAGAGGCTTATAAAAAAAGAGAAGAAAAATAAAGACTAAGGTAATTAAAGGTTGCATTCTCATTTTTAAAAGGCATGAAAATTCTTCAAGAGTACCCTAGCTGGTTTGGCTCAGTGGATAGAGCACCAGCCTGCGAATTGAAGGGTCTGGGTTTGATTCTGGTCAAGGGCATATGTCCAGGTTGCAGGCTTGATCCCCAGTAGAAAGCATGCAGGAGGTAGCTGATCAATGATTCTCTCTCATCATTAATGATCCTATCTCTCTCTCCCTCTCTTAAATCAATAAAAATATATAAAAAATAAATATTCTTCCTGAGAGATATATATTTGCCTAGGTTGTATGGTGGGTAAGTATATGCCTTTCTTATTCCTAAATTGCATAGTGCTTCCTTTTGTGTCAATATAACATATAGTTTTATAGACACACAATGACTACACAGTGCCACACTTTATACAAAATAAGCCTTATCAATCCCTCTCTTACCACCACCATAAACTTTTAATTTCTTAAACCTATCACAGTCTTTCCTACCACTTCTTTCCTATGTTCCTCTATTTAAAATAAATTATGAAACCTTTCAAAAATCCATTAAGACTTAGGGAATCATATCCTATATAATAAAAAGGTAATATGCAAACTGACCCTAACAGCGGAACGGCCGATGGCTATGATACGCACTGACCACCAGGGGTCAGACATTCAATGTAGAAGCTTCCCCCTGGTGGTCAGTGCGCTCCCACATGGGGAGCTACAGTCAGCCACAAGCCAGGCTAATGGCTGCAAGCTCAGCGGGGGTGGCGGGAGCCTCTCCCTCCTCTTTGGCAGCGCTAAGGATGTCTGATTGATGGCTTAGGCCCATCCCCGAGGAGCGGGCCTAAGCCATCAGTCGGACATCCCCCGAGTGCTCCTGGGCTGCTGGGCCCCAGGGAGCAGACCTAAACCGGCAGGTGGACATCCCCCAAGGAGTCCCAGACTGAGAGAGGGTGCAGGCCGGGCTGAGGGACACTCCTCCTCCCACCCACCCTCCTCCCCCGCCAAGTGCATGAATTTTTGTGCACTGGACCTCTAGTATTGAATAAATGCCATTGAGCTCAGTCAAATTTTACCATTTTGCCACATTTGCATCAATTTCTTTTGTAAAGAGAACTATAACCTCATAAATACAGCTAAAACTCTATACATAAAAATACCCAACCCCATTACTCTCTCCAAAGATATTAACATGCTTTTAGTATGTAATACCTATGTATGTACTCATATAAACTTATTAGTCCATTTTCCTGTTCATGGATGAACATTTAGGTTGCTTTTTATTTTTATGCTATTAACAATGCTGCATAAACATTCTTATACATAACATGGCTCCTTGTGAACATAGAATTTCTTAAGTGGGACATTGCAGGATTCCTGGAAAGTATGTATTAGATATTGCTAAATAACTCCCCAAAGTGTTCGGGCCATATTCTTTTATTTTTAGTTATTCAGCAGACAGGTGATTGTGCATCTTCAATCATACTCAATTCCACTGAAGAGGTATTAATTCACCTTTCTTACTCAAGGCCCACAGACTGAAAAGTTTGCATTTACATAATTATTTTTAAAAGTCAATAAATTATGAACTTATTAACTCCAAAATTAAACTTAAGAACTTTCTTAAAATTGTTAGAAATTATTACAAGGACACAGATTCACAGGAAACAAGTTTAAAGATTGTGACCATTTATCTTTGAGAGGCAAAAAGAACGTGTTATTCAGTAGCACACAAAGGGAAAATTTCACTAATCACTTCATTCAAAATAGATTTTTCTTTAATTTATTGTTTCTCAAAATATAGTCCCTAGACTACAAGCACTAGCACACATGGAAAAAACCCACGCTAAATGTATGAATCATAATTGTAAAGGTGTGAAGAATCCTACTGAATAGAAATCTACATTATTTTAACAATCATATCAGATAACACTTATGCTCAATAAGGCTTGAACTCCACTGTTTTAATTAATGTGACTTTAAACTCAACTATCGTGAAAAAATTGTTACCTGAGAATCACGAAGCTGATTATGAAAATGCTGAATTAAATCATTCAATTCTTCATTTAGTTCAGATGTGATACTAACTCCAGATAGACTTCCTGTAGTTTCTGTTACAACTGGAAAGAAAAATTAAGAACTATTAATTAAAGCAAATAAATACACCACCTTAATTTATGAGAAACTAAAAATAAATTTTGGGGAAACAGGACTTAAAAAAAAGTCCACTAACATAATTTGAAACTAGTTAACCCTGATTTATCTGTCAACCAATCATTTTATCATTTCCATCTAATCTGAAAATAAAGGGAAAATGACAAAACTCTAAGATAGTGGTTCATCTTTTTCTGTCCCAACATTTGAGGAGGAATACTTTTACATCCTAATTAAGAACAGTGACTGAATGGAGGATGGGGACAGGTCTAGCAGACTGGGTCGAGGCTGTGTTAGGGAAAGTACTTGTCTAAAAAAGAACAGCTGATTCTGATAGGTCTCAATTCCCATCTCCACTAACAAATGACGCTCTAGTTCAGGGGCTAGCAAACTTTATTCAAAATACAGATAGTATTAAATATGTTAAGCTCTATAGAAATACAATTTTTGTTTCAACTACTCAACCCTGCCATTATAGGGCAAAAGTAACCACAGAAAATACATAAACAAATGGGCATGGCTATATTCCATGAAACTTTATTGCAGACAGTGGGCCAAATTGAGTTGGCCATCGTTTGCTGACCCCTGCAATAGAACAGATAATTTATTGAAGTAATTGCTTGTGCTACCAGACATACTAAAAAACCGTAGTTTTTATCTTCCTTCCTAAGGCAGTATTCTGATGACAATTTTGATAACAGTTGGTGCTCTATTATCCAGCCACCCCATGCTTATCCTAGCTCTAAATGAGACACTGGCTATAAACTGTTTCTGTTTAAAAGGAAAATACTAGCTTTTTCTATTGAGAAGTTTGAATTTCAGGGCTAGAGAGAATCCCACATATCTAGTCCAAACTATGTTTTGAAAAGGAAGGAATTACAGTCTAGATAACTAACACACAGCTTTCTAGTTAAATGATGAAAGGAGCACTATTTCCCAGGACAATTACATACCAGAAAATTAAATATAACAACTGTGGCTTTCCATCAGTATTTCTCTGCAAAATTTCATAAATACAAGAGTAAATCTGCCTTAAAATTATTAACCTAAAGTTCTTTTTGAAACAGTATATCAAATAAATTAAAATTCTTATTCATTCTATTCCTGGTCCCTGCCTCATGACAGTACACATTTTTCTGTTTTTAAAAAAACAGATTATCTGCTTACTTAAAAATAAAAGTTCATAAACAGAAGACCACTGACCTAAAACTCAAGAGATCTGATGCTACTAAAATTTCATATAAGCTTATGGAAATCACAAACTCTGTGTTCGAGGTCCTTCTTTATAAAGTGAGAAAACAAGAAAAGCTCCTGAGACTAACCTACAATTTTGTGATAATCAAATGAGATGATGTAAACTTAACTATTTTAAATAATATAACTATTACAGGAAAGTCTCTGAAATCTAACACTCCAAATCTGAAAAATGTTTAAAAGTATATTATTAACCAAACTAGTATTGATCGTTAGTAAAATATGTTTTTCCTAAATATAAAAGCTAATGATACTTTGAATTTTAAAAGGGAAAGTGGGAATAAAAATCTTGTAATTATTGCCCTGGCCAGGAAGCTCAGTTGATTGGAGCATTACCCTGTGCACAAAAAGGTTGCGGGTTCAATTCCTGGTCAGGGCACATACCTAGGCTGAGGACTCCATAGCTGGTGGGGGTGATTATGGGAGGCAACTGATCAATGTTTCTGCCTGTGTCTGTCTGTCTGTCTGTCTGTCTCTCTCTCCTTTCCTTTCTCTCTAAAAATCAATAACCATAGACTTGGTGAGGATTTTTAAAAAATCTTATAATTATTACTATATGTATAACTATACGACTATATAATTATTATAAAAGAGTAAGTTACTTGCAAGTTATAAAGTTCCTTATGAAAAGGGAAAAATTAAATTATGCATATCAGAGGGCTGAGCCAGTGGGATGGGTGTGAGTAGCAGGATAAATCAAGTAACAAGGTTAACTTCAGTGAGGACCTAAAATGGAGAGCCCACAGGGTGATAAGTTATTAGAATGGGATGACAGACTACTAGAAAATATTACCTGAGTTTTAAAAAGTAACAATTTGTTTCCAACTTAATGAAGATTAAACACTTAGGTTTGAAGGTGATGAGACAAATTAAACTCAATACTAAACAATGCAATAAAATTTCATTATTTTCATTATTCCCTAAGTGATATATGAGTATTAGGGAAAAAAGAATATTTCTGAGTCTCAGGAAGACTGTATAGGATAAAAACATAGCCCAAATGAACTGCTGTACACAATTGGTTACCTAATTGAAATAACAGAACTACTAGTAACCTCAGAAGCTAAAAAAGCTCTACAAATCTAATCTAATCACCATCTTACTTAAGGTCTTAACCCTTCCTTGGGAGGCAAGTAAAATACAGTAATCCTACCTAAATGAAGTACAAACGGTGGAAATAAAAGCATTAACAGCACTATCAGTCTGAGGTACAAAAACAGAACTACGGCCTGTCCCTTTTACCTCGTAAGGGTACTCTCTGATGAAAAGGAGAGCAAGATGGCTGTCTGCCCGGTACAGTAGGATGGCCAGGATTTGTCCCTGCAATCTTTTCTGCATAACCAGAGAAAAGCACAGGACAAGGTAAGCCTTATATTTAGGTTTCTAAACTTGTCAATGATCAAGATCTGACTATCTAATAACCAGCATCCACCTTGCAGTACTATCATGCCTTGCTTGTAAAACAACATTCTAAGACTGTGGCATACCAGAGTCATCCATCACAGCAATAGCTTGCTCTGCTTTATGTTGCAGAGCAAGAAGAGCAGCTTGTCTTCCCTGCAGAGCTCGCAGTTGCTCCTGCTGCTGTAACATCCTTTTTAATAAATCATGTTGTTTCTTCAAATTTTCTATATCTTCCATAGGTT